ATGGCTAAGCCTGAATGAAGGGCTCGATTCTAGTTTCGTTTTGTTAGTTTCAGGTTACTTTTACATATCAGTGTGTAAAATGGTTATCCATTATCTCAGTTATAATACAGGTATCAGGCAGACCTGTATGCGTCCAGTGAAGCAGTGTGTAAGAGTTGTGTTACTCCCTAATTGCCTTTATCACCCCAGCATGTTTGACAGCTCTCTGACGCGGCGACAGAAGTGGCTGGAAAGGCAGCTCTTGGCTAAATGAAGTGTTGGGTGGAGGACCAGAGTGTGCAGACAGATAGGCAACTTGCTTGGGGCCTAATGATTGGTTGACAGTAAAAGGTAATCACAAGATTATCCGGGTATCAGACTAGCGCTAATATCAGCTCTTCAGAACAAAATGATGACGTTGGAAATAGGAAAACAGGCCCCTGGGGAACAAAGACAATTGTTCCTTATCCCATGTGTAATTCTTCAGTGGAGAGACATCTGCCCAAGCTACATTTTGTGCCAAGAACTTTGCTAAAGAAACAGTTTTATTTTTCCAAGTTTTCTGGAGATCTATAAGACCTCCAGAATTTGTAGTGGTTTGTAAGTGATATGTACTAGAAAAATGAAAACACAGAAGAGTATTGGATTATGTATCTTCTTATGTATCTTTAAAAAATTGAGAATGTGCTGTATATTTTAAAGACATTTCTACATATGGTGCCAACATGTACATGTTTCTAAGATTGAGCGAATTTAAAAAAAAGTTTTAGGAAATTTGTGAATAGACAAATCAATTTAAAAGTGATTTGTGAGGACAACCCTCAAGGAAGGAAGGAAGGATTAACTATGATTTTTGCCAACATTAGTCTACCTTGCTAAAGTGACCTTTCTTTATTTTATGTTAAACTTTTTTCCTTTTATTCTTAATTTCTTCTTGTTGTTGTTATTACTATTTGAGAAAAAAGAGAGAACTCTTGGGTTGGTTTATTGACTAAATGTCCACAACAGTTGGGCCAAGACCAAAGCCAGAAGCCGAGATGCTGGGGCCCTCACCGCCTCCTCCTGGAGTTTGTATGAGCAGGGAGATGGAGTCAAGAGCTGGAGCTGGAAATTGAGCCTGGGTACTTTGTTGTAGAACATGATATCTTTGTTTTTAGATTTATTAGAGTGAGAGAGAGAGAGAGAAAGGGACAGAGGAATCCTCCATCCTTTGGTTCAACTCTCTTAATTGGCATGATGACCACAGCTGAGTCAGGCAGAGGCCAGGAGGCAGGAGGTTCATCCAGTTCTCCCACATGGGTTGCAGGGGCCCAAAGTTCTTCAGCCATCCACGACTGCTTTTCTAAATGCATTAGCAGGGAGCTGGATCAAAAATGGAGCAGCTGGGACATGAACTGGTGCCCATGTGGCATGTTGACATCATGGATGGCAGCCTTACCAGCTGTGCCATAGTGCTGATCCCATGGAACATGGGTGTCTTAACCCATGCTTACCCCTCCCCACACTTGCCATCCAGCTTTATACTTTGTTTCCTCTTCTTCCGAGAAGCCCTCTTAGGCTTTCACAGTTAACCTCTTTCACAGAGAGCTTGCTGGGCCTCAGAGTTTGCGATGAGCACTTGCGCTTGTCGGTGGAGGTTGTCGGTTTTCCTTTGCTGCAGAATAGCTTGTGTGAGCTTATGGATTTTCAGGCTGAAGTCACAGTTTAAAACACCCGGGGAAAGGGAAGGCAGAATGCTGGGGGAAAAAAATGACGGGAGACGGGCTGATTGTTAGTGACTTCTGAGGTGGTTTTGTGAGCAGCCTGGCTGATCATCCAGGAGAGTAAGCCAGGCCCTTTCAGCACGGGTCTGACCTTGCCAAGGGCAGAGGCAGGTGTCTGGGTTCTGTCTCCTGTATCCCTTGCTCATCCCTTATCTAGGCAGACACAAGAACAAACATGCCCTTTGCTGCATGCGTCTTGAATTACATAGATGTGCTTGTGTATGTGTATGTGTCGAATAAGCTATATTTGAAATTAAAAACCCAGCTTCTTTGAAGGTTGTCTTGCAATTTGCCATTCACTGTGACAGACTCTGTCAACCACTGCTACAGGACGTTAACCTAATTATTTGATTGAATTATGGCCTGATTTTTTTTTTTTTAATGCGTTGTGTATCTGAGACAGTAAAGGCCATGCTCCTTCATAAATGAATTGAATTAGTGGAGAATACAATAGAATAGAGATCGACGGTCGGTTGAAATGCTTGTAAAATTGGAACATGGAGTCTGGGGGAAGCCACAGCCTCTCCTTGAGTAACAGCAGTGGTTCCCAACCTCACTGCTGTCTGGAATCAGATGGGAAACTCAAAGTGACAGTGACGTGAACTGGGTCCTAGCTACTGCAGCCTGTCCCCACAGGGATTCTGATTCCGTGGGGCTCCAGGGAGCAGGGCTCTTCTGCCTCACCCAGATGGAGGGTCACTGACTGCCGGCCCTGGGGCCCTTTCTAGCCTTCCTTGATCCTATCTGGTGTCACTAATCACGCACTTCGTGGCCAATCTTGTCTCCTGTCTGGTGAGCAGTTTCTGCCACAGCCTTTGCTAAGGGGGCACGTGTGCCGGATGGGATGATTTTCTGAAACAGAAGTTTGACTTTCTGAAAGATACCTGACCCCTGGGGGTTCAGCACAGGAGTGAGGCCTCCTTGGGGTAGGGAGCAGTGAGCAGAGCATGGGCCAAGGTTGTCACTTGCTTTTCCTGCAAGATGAAGAAAGTGGTGTAGCATCTGCATGGATCAAAGCAGCGGGCAGGATCACCGCATGGTTCCCAGCCCCACCTACGTTCGGGACATTTCTTGCTCCTTCAAGGTGATGATGATGATGATGATGATAGATGCGTGAAGGCTAGTAGTCCACAGCACAAGGAACCGCAGCAGAAAAATGCACAGCATGCTTTAGAACTTGTGAGTGTGAGGAGACTTGAAGTGATGCCAAAGCATCAACTCCAGCGTTTCCTGATCAGCACGAACCCAGGAGCGTGTGAGCCACAGGGTCCCGCTCAGGGTCTTGGGTGGCAGTGGTTAGTTGGTCAGCCTGGCCCACGGCCCACATCTTCTCATGGCCTCACTGACACTGCAGGGTGGCCCACTCACATTCCTTCCTCTGTATAAGAACAGCCTCATCTGTGCCCAGGCAGTAGCATGGAATTTTAGTTTGTCGTGACTAACTGTAATAACCCCGATTGCAAAGAAAAAGGCATAGAGGTCTGAAGATGCCCAGTGGTAAAGCCATTTCTTTTCTGTTTGTGCCCTCATTCAGGTAGCTCTTTGTCTCCCCCTTGGTGCCTCCTGCATTCTCAGAAGGACAGCCTCTGTATCCACCCCCGGAAGTCACTCACCTGCTGAGAGCTTTTTGCCCTGACTAATGTGCCCTCCGTGCATAGTGAGGGCCCATGTCATCATGACACAGGTTCAGCCACCATCTGTGACGCCAGCATCCCATATGAACACTGGTTCAAGTCTCAAGTGCCCCACTTCTGATCCAGCTCCCTGTTAAAGTGCACAGGAGAGCAGCTGAAGAGGGTCCAGTGCTTGGGCCCCTACTATCCATGATGGAGACCCAAATGAAAGTTGTAGGCTTTAACTTGAACTGGTTTCCAACCCCACATCTCACCCCAATCAGGATAATAGCAGCCGTGTGGAGTGGGTCCTCTTCAGAGGTGATTGCCAGGGAGGGTCTCCATGCAGTAGAAAAAGAGAAATTAAGTAATTTAAGTAGGCTCTCACGCCACTACCTTTAACATGCTAGGTCTTAGCATAGTCAGCCATGTAACATCTCAGATTCAACACCGCACCCCCTGTGGTCCTCCACCCACCTGAACAGGCGCCTCTTTGAGGAGATGGTGTCCTGCTGGAGAAAGAGCTGGCTCATTGTGGAGTTTGTGTTGTTAGCATGCTGATTTCTCTCAGATTATCCTCATGGTGTCCTTGAAAAGGTTCCCCTTTGAAATGATTTAATTAAGCATGTAAGCATTCAAAGTGGGGAGAGTGAGAGAATGTGCAAAAACTAAAAATTGACCTAAAAGTGGGGTTTAACTTTTTTTTTAGATGCATATATTTGAAAGAGTTATAGAAAGCAGGGAAGAGGCAGAAAGAGACAGAGAGATTTTTCCATCTATTGGCCCACTCTCCAAATAGTTACAATGGTCTGGGTAGGGCCAGGCTGAAGACAAGAGCCAGGCGCCCTCACCACGGTCTCCCCTGTGTGGGTACAGGGATCCAAACACTTGGGCTGTTATGTGCTGTTTTCCCAAGCCCATTAGCAGGAAGCTGGGTCGGAAATGGAGCAACAAGGATTCAGACTGGCACCCAAATGAGATGTCAGTGTTTCAGGTGGGCGTGACCTGATGCTACGCCACAGCGCTGGCTCCCACTTTGGCTTTGAAAGGTCATCTTAGATTTTGTAGTTTCCCCCACCCTAGAGGTTGATGATGTCTGCTTTAATGCAATATATTGTCTGGAAGGGTGGCTATAAGCGTGTCAGACAACAGTGAACATTCATGGAGATCCAGTTATACCAGGCTCATCTATTTCAGTTTCTCTGGCATTTCCAATAGACCAGCACCATTATGGGATAAAGAATATTTAGTATCTTTGCCATTTTAATAATTTGACAAATACTTAGATTGTTTTTGCTGCTGTACAGTCAACTCTTTGAGGTTCTTTCTGTCCTTGTGGCGTATGTGCCAACAGTTTCATATGTTTCACAGTGCATACATTCTGGCAGCTGTGGGTTTTTTTTTTTTTTAAGAAGTCAATGCGATTCTTCCAGATTGTTGGCCCAAAATTCTTCTGTGGAACTTCTTTTTCCCATGTGCTCCAAGCAAGCAAGCAACAAATAAGCAATGATAGAAAACAGATATTTGGGGTGGGGGGAGGAGACAGTTCTTTGTTTGGGTTGCGTATGTTAAAAAAAGTACTTTTTGGGTTACGTTTTTTTCATCTAACTTGTCTTCTCTCTCTCTCTCTCTAATGTTTTAATAGGTGCAGAGAGAGCTAGCAGCTGTTATTGCTTTGAAAGCAAGGAAGTCTGGTGAGTGGTCTTCAAAGGGGGTTCGGGTCCTTTGGGGGATCTTTTGAGGGGAAGTTCACAGCCAAGTGTATCTCCAAAGATATTGGGTGCAGGACACAGAGAACATCACTGATTTCAACATGATTTATTCTGCCCTCAGAATAGCACAGGGTGCTATGTATAGGTCTGAAGTGAAATTTCTGTACTTATTCTCTGCTTGATTCCCGATTCCAAGGAAAGGTAAGGTTTCAAAATCTAATGGCAGTCCGCTGCCCCAGGTGATTAGTCCCTGAAGAGCAGCATGCAAAGCACAGGGAGCCCCTAATGACAGAATAATGAGGGCCACAGTGGAAGGCTTTGTGGAAGGCTGGTTTTTTTTTTTCTTTCTCAAAGTAGTTTTTTTTTTTTTTTTCCCAAAAAGGTAATGACAAGGCTAGGCCAGTGTTCTTTATTGCAATGGCTGTGTTGATCTGAATTTCGCTTATCTGTAGAATGTCATCTATGATATGTGGAAAGGAAGACGGAGCTTGCAAATACCTTTTAAGAGAGAGAGAACACGTGAGAGAGAAACCCTCCACTTTACTGAAATCCTGTAGGGAATGGAGATCGCCGAAGTAGAACAGTGCTCGCTTGGGGAGGGCGGTGAGGCGTCACAGGCAGGCATCCCGTGCTGCTCCTTCAGGCCGTGCTGAATGGAATGAAAATCCCAAGGAAAGCTCGCAGTGCATCGTGGTAAACTGGACTAAGCCTTTTCAGGCAGAAAGACAGCATCCAAATCCAAGTGATAGCAGACATCCAAGAGGCCAGTGGAGCAGAAAAGGCTGACAAACATGGAGCATATGGTTTTAAACATCTTTGTTTTGCCCAGTAGAAATCTCAGAACTCGCTTCTCTCTTGACTCATTTTTTAAAAAGATTTATTTATTTATATTGGAAAGTCAAATATGTACAGAGAAGAAGATAGAGAGAGGAAGACCTTCTGTCCAATCACTCCCCTAGTGGCCGCACCGGCCAGAGCTGAGTGATCTGAGGCCAGGAGCCGGGAGCTTTTTGCAAATTTCCCATGTGGGTGCAGGGACACCTTTGGGCCATCCTCGACTGCTTTCCAAGGCCACAAGCAGGGAGCTGGGTAACAAGTGGGACCACCAGGACATGAACCGGCGCCCAAATGGGATCCCTGTGCAAGGTGGGGACTTTAGCCACTAGGCTACCACACTGGGCCTTTGACTTGTTTTTGAACCAAATACACCTGAGTGTGAATTTTCTGAGTGTGAAGTTACTTTCCTGCTCGCTTTCTCCCTGAGGAAAAAATTTGGCTGATGAAGAGAACCCCAGCCTGGGTGTCAGGAAAGGAAGTTGCGAGGAGAGCTTCTCAGTGTGTGTTTGTAGGGGCTTTTCCATGAGCTGAGTTTGCAGGCGTTTTGCCACAATGGGGAAAAGACATCAGCAGGAAGGACGGCATGGATGTACAAGGGGCTGGACATTATCTTGTGACAATGATGAGTTTTTGTCTGCGTGACAGTACCTTGGCAGATAGGATTTGTTTCCTAAATGCTTCAAAATAAGGTAGGGGAGTTGTAAAAAAGAAAAAGAACTTGTGCCCCCACCAGGGAGAGATACCGCGGAACACAGAATGGCAGGCTGTGGACGGGAGCAGCCGCTTTTCCCCAGAGTAGGACGGGAAGGCCTGGGGTCCGAGCACCTGTGAGCCAAGGTACAGGGTGTGTCCGTGTGCCGGACAGCAGCCCTGAGGCAGAGGGGTGCCAGGTGTTGGAAGGACAGCAGAGAAGAAGGCACGGGAGAGACAGGGTTGGACTGTGGTGTCAGGCTGAGCAGTTGGGATTTTCTGCAGGAAAGTGAAGGTGAACACGCAACATCCGTGAGTGTCCAGCTGAGCCAACTCAAGGCTGTTAGGCAGTTTCCTCATGTCTTGGTGTCACTGTAAGAAGTTCACATGTCTGTTTTCCTTTCTGATTTACTCTGGGGGCCCCAGAATGTGTAGGCAGATCGTGTCGGCAGTTCCCCAACGTCACTCACACCTACAAGAATGGGGTACAGTGTGCACAGTCTTCCTGGCACCATGATCCAGCAGCTCCATGGTTGGAGGCATAGCTGCAGGGCGCAGCGGAAGGTGCACATGAAGGCTGAGGTAGAAGGATGCGTGTGGCTTTGTTTCCAACAAAAGAAAAGCAGGAAAACCACTTAGGTCCTCATCATAGGAAAATGGGAAAATTGACAGATCAACGTGAGGAGTGTTAAAAATTAATATGCAAGTAGTAAAACAGTGAAAGCAATTGTGTATAACATTCTTCTCATAATGAAAATAGCTTCATTTATTTGCTTCCTTACTGTTATAGTTGAACATTCTCATTGAAATAACTTGTATTATGTGAGTGTATGAAGAATAAGCTGATAAGTCACATCCTCTCCCCAAGGCAGACCAATGAACACCCTTTTGTTGTGACTTATTTCCAGATGCCTTTTTTGCTCATGCGCTTACATGATTGTTATATTTTAATATTCAGGTTCTATAAAAGTGAGATCATTGAAGTTCACATCCAGTGATAACGAATAATACTGGCAGATTCTCAACACCCTTTGACCATGCCCCCCACTGGTCGTGTCTGGTAGAGCCATGGGGCAGCACCAAAGCCAAGAAGGCAAGAAGGACAGAGGCGTTTCCAACCCCCTGCCATGCCACCTGTCACTCTGGGTAGCCACACAGACCCCTATTCCATCCTGAATCCCTGGCAGTCACGAACACCTGTGCTCTGCAACTGGAATCCTGACATCTCAGAACAACGGTATACATCAAGTCCTGGAGTGTGTCGCTTTCCAGAAGTGGCTACCTTCTCTCTGGGCCGCTGCTCACGTCAGTCATTTGTTTCTTCTGGCTGCAGCACAGTGAGGTGAAGGCACCACAGTACCTTGACACATCCCACCACTGGAGGGCAGTTGGGGAGGGGCCTGCCCTGAATGAAGTTACTGACAGCACTTTGTAGGTTTGGTGTGTGAACCCAAGTGTTTATTTCTTCAGAAATACCCAGGGATATAATTGCTATATGATGTGGCTTTGTAAGGAAATGCCCCCGCCCCCTGTCTTCCAGAGCAGCTGTGCCATTATACTTCCTCACCAGCCATGGGTTGGTGATGGAGGCGCTCTGTGTCCTGGCCAGCATCCGCTGCCATGCTTACGGTTTCAGAATTCTAGCAATTGATAGGGTTTGTGATTATATTGCAGTTTCAATTGGCAGTTCTCTAATGGCTAATGACATTGAAGCTTTTCTCATATATTTAAGAGCTACCTGGATGTCAATGCCTTTGGTTTATGCTTGTTAATGTCTTCTGCCCAGTTTATACCTGGGTTGTCTGATTGTTGGGGGGTTTGTTTTTGAGAGGCAGAGAAAGGGAAATCTCCCATCTGCTAGCTTACTCCCCAGATGCCCGCAACAGCTGGGGCTGGGCTGAGCTGGCCTGAACTAGGCTGTGCTGAGCTGGGCTGAGCTGGGCTGAGCTGGGCTGAGCTGAGCTGGGCTGAGCTGGGCTGAGCTGAGCTGAGCTGGGCTGGGCTGAGCTGGGCTGAACTAGGCTGTGCTGAACTGAGCTGGGCTGAACTGAGTTGGGCTGGGCTGAGCTGGGCTGAACTAGGCTGTGCTGAGCTGGGCTGAGCTGAGCTGGACTGGACTGGACTGAGTTGGGCTGGGCTGAGCTGAGCTGAGCTGAGCTGAGCTGGGCTAGACTGAGCTGTGCTGAGCTGAGCTGAGCTGAGCTGAGCTGCACTGCGCTGCGCTGCACTGAGCTGAGCTGAGCTGAGCTACTCTGAGCTGGACTGAGCTGGACTGAGCTGGACTGGCCTGAGCTGTGCTGGGCTGAACAGTGATAGCTAAGATTATACTGTCCACATATACCATGGTTTATTTCATCTACTTACCTACTAAAGGACATCCTGATTGCTTTCCATTTTTAGTTTAATCTTTATTAAATAATTTATATAGAACTTCATATTTTATCATAAATATTCCATATAATCATATGAATGAAAGGCAGAGGGACAGAGAGAACTATTTGCTGATTCATTCCCCAAATGTCCACAGAAGCCAGGGCGGGCCAGGCTGGGCCTAGGAGCTCAGGACTCAAGGCAGATCTCTCATAGGTGTGGCAGGAACCCCAGTGCAGGAGCCGTTATCTGCTGCTCTCCCAGGGTCATTGCTAGCAGGAACCTGGATCTGAAGTGGAGTAGCTGTGACTCTTAACTAGGCACTCCAGTATGAGTCATGGTTATCTCACACAGTTAACCACTGTGCCACAAAATCCTTCCTGTGCTTTCAATTTTGATAGTAACATATAAGGCTACCAAAGACATCAGTGTGCAGATGCTTATGCTATACAAGTTTTCAGTTCATTGAGGTAAATAGCAAGGCATGCGACTATGTGATTATGTTGGAAGCATAAGTTAAATCTTGTTAGAAACTGCCAAATTGTCTTCCAAAGTGGCTGCACCATTTTGTATTCCCATCAGCGATGAATAAGAATGCCTTGTCACTCTGCATTCTTGGCAGCGTTGGTGGTGGTCCTTGTTCCGGAGTGTGGCTATTCTAACAGGTTTGAAGCAATATTGTTGTGATGGACAGTCCCCTAGTGACACGGGGTGTGGTGCATCTCTGCACAGACTTACCGTCTCTCTCCTTCCTTCTCAGGCAGCTCTTGAGGGATCCAGTTTTGCATGTGGGTATTCATTCTCTTGTTGAGTTTTCTGAGTTCTTTGTATATCTTAAGTAACAGTCCTTTATCTGATAGTCTTCTGCAAAGGTTTTTCTCCCAGTCTGTGGCTGGCTTTCTCCTTCTGTTGAAAGTGCCTTTGCCCTAGGGGTTTTTGTGTTAATAAAGACCAGATTCAGTCATTTCTTTCATGGCTCATGCCTTTGGTGTTGTCCCTAAAAAGTCATCACCAAATCAAAGGTCTTCCAAGTTCTCTCATGTGTTGTCACCTGGGAGTTTTAGAGTTTGGTGTTTTACCTTTGG